AGAACGTTATAGAAACTTACCATTAAATAGCGATTGTCTAGTTCTAGAAATCGATCTGCTGACTCAAAAACTACACTCTCGTTTTAAATTCAGACGTACGAAGATCAAGAACGTTGCCCTTAAAACGGTTATATCATCCAACTGCTCGTATTTGGAATGCTTCTCCACTTCCCCCCTCTTCATTCCGTGGACAAGTTCAAATATTTGCCCTGAAATCTCCAGCTCCGTCCCGCCCGATTCTCCTGTCTTTGGAGCTGAATCATCGGGTTATCAGCTTTCAGCGCAAACAGGCAAACAGAAGTCAGCACAAAAACAAGCCAGAGTTAAAGCCAAATGCGAAATTGGAGGAGGCTAAAAACAAAAATATGAACCACAAAAAACAGAAAGAAAAAAAGAAGCTACTTAAATCGCACACCTTAGCACATCCGTCAGAATGTTATCCACATGACCAGTGCATGGCGATAAAGAGGGGATTCGGGGGAATGCTCGATACTTATTTACACATATCCAATAACCAATCACGTTCAAGGTAAATGATGACCGAATTTCGCACAAACTTAACTGCGATGTGCAGAAACAAAAAAAAAAAAACAGCACAGTATTGTTTACAGTTACTCAGGAGGCTACTAAAGATAAATTAAGCATACGCCCCATGGGCGTTTAAACATTTTGTTTGCACCTTTTTGGCCTTTATTTATGTATGGTTGCCTGTCAATCACATCAACTTTGCGATAGGCCCAACGCAAACAAACACACAGCTCTTATCAGCCGAAAATATTACCGTAGTATAGTATTTCCTTATCGCCAGGGCTTGTCTAGTGGGGGTCTGCCTGATAATTTGGCGTTTCAAAATAATTTTGCACTCCGTAATCAAAGTTCTTTTGCGTACACACTTGACCTAAATGCGCAATTCTTGGGACCTATAGACTTTTGGAACCTACTGTATGGTACATAGCCGAAAATCAGGGGGGTAAGCAATATTTATTCAAGGGGGGGCTTAAACTCTAATAGGGGTTCCTTATAAAATAAGTTTAATTTTGCTACAATTTTAAACAATAACCATTTATTGGTTAAGCAGCAAGTGAATCCCAAACCCCTTAGCTACACCATTGACGTGAATATGTATATAGTATAGTATTATGTACCATCTATATACTCTATATACTTTTGTACTTTCACTTTCTTTACACGCATGCGTCATAAATGGGGGCCTAAAATGGGAGCTCTGAAAGGAAATTGACCCTCGACCGACGTTTTTTTTTCAGCCATATTTTCGGCATATCACGTTTCAAAATATTGCATACTTTGAAGGGCATTCTGATCCTTATGGCAGAAATGCGCTGTTAATGGGTTTTTTCTCCGCACTCTCGAGCCAAGTAGAAATTTCCTACATTTGCCAAGAGAATTCTTTCGCTTTTGAGTGATTTATGGACGAGTTATGCGGTTATGTGGTTATGTGTGTGCCCTTGAGATGCCCCTCAACTAATTCAGATGGTAATTCAGCCGCATTTGCTAATGGATTACACATGCTCGAGTGTTGGCTGCACTGAATTGGGGGGAAATGGTTCAATTCATGCTTTCACTTTCGCTTTTCGCCCTTATGTACCTAGATTTCAAGGACGCCCCAAAGCCCCCACTGTTATCGCTAACAGCGCTGTTAGCCTGCAGCCTCGCTCTTTCTCGCCCTCTCTCTGTGCTTTGGCACTTGTTCGACAGCACGTGCACCGTTTGTTCTTTTCATTCTCATTCTTCTTTTGGATTTTAAGCCGAGCGGTTGTGTGCGTATCAGTGTTCGTGTGTGAGTGCGTGGGCGGCCGGCCGTATATATGTATGTAAATATATCTCTGTGTACATATAGAATTTCGCATTATTTATACAAATTTGATTGGCGGTAAATAAGTTGGCGACTTAACCTCAATTGAACCGGCTGCTCTCTTCGCGTACTTTGTTCTACGGCTGCCAATGTAAATGCTCTAAATTTGATAAAAATTGTGAAATATTCCCCTGAAAGCCACTTAAAAAACTTAATCAATATTCATCGGTGCCTTTTGCCTTTCTACATATTTTCCATCTTTCCCATTTGTTTTTATCAGTGCGCCTTCTCCTCGTCTTTCTTCATTTGAAATCGCTGGCCGTGTTGTTATTGTTGCGTTGATAATAAAAATAGAACTTAACTTTATTTTTCTGTGCTTTGCTTTGGGTCGCTTCTCAAATGCCCCGCCTCCGACTCCCACTGCCACTGCATCGCCCCCCTCTCGCTTTCCTCCATTTGTTGTTTGTTTTACACTCGGCGATAAAGATAAAGGCCGTTTATTTAAATCAAGCATACGATTTGAGTGCTCTTGCATGGGTGTGTGCGTGTGTAGAGTGCACGATTTATAAAGCTATCAGCGCGCTTTTCTCGAACAGATGCAACTCGTATTTATTGCATTATAAAATAATTTAATTACCCAAGAGGGGTTGACAGCCAGACAAAAACCGCAAGTGTTGCAGGCCTAGAAAGAGAGCAGTCTAGAAGGGAGAGAGGAGAAGGGGATTAAGTCAGACAGGCGACAAATTCGTCAGTCATTTTGTAGTGGGAAGCCTGCATTGAAATTCATAACATTTTTTAAATATTTAAAACAAATATCGAACCTAAAATGGACAAATATAAAACAATTTTCTGGAAAATAGGTATTTCAACACTTTTTTTTAAAACAACTTTAGCGACAAAATCGTAGGTTTCTCTTATGCTCTCGTAGCATTGAACTTTATAACTTTTGTCGCCTGGGTCGCTGAACCCGCCTAGAAAAGTGACCCTGAGCGCAGGTTGCAGTCCGCGCAGGCGACGCATGTGTCGTAGTCGTTCTCTGCGGCAATCATTTCGATCGATTAGGCATTTTTTTTGGTATTTACCCACAGCATTTCGCAACATTCTCGCAACAATGACAGCCAGGCAGAGAATTAAATAAATTGAAATAAATAAAAATAAAGCTATGCGCGCATTGACTCCGCCTTGCTGTTGTTATTGTGGGTGTTGTGGTGAACTTGCTCAAGTGCATTCATCACTCATATTTGTTGCTGCAAACGTTGTTTCATTTTTTTTTTTTGTGTTCGATTACAGCCAATAATGTAGCGACAAAAAAGTGTTTAAAAGTGTTAAAAATAAACAAACGCGTCGTGGCAAACAAAAAGCAACAGAAAGAACAAATAAAACGCTGCGATGTGTGCAGCTTTGACTTAATTTCAGTGCGTTCAACCTAGGAGCAAGCGAGACGGCTAGAGATAGAGAGGGAAAGATACATGCGATGCAGAGCAAAAGCTCTAGAACAAGTGCATAGATAGTGGGCGAGAGCTAAAAAAAAAAAGAGCAAGAGAGTGATGTGCTGTGATTTTTATTTACAGTTGAAGGATTATTATGTGACTTTTACAAGGCGAGACAGAGACGGCGACAAGGGATCGCAGTGTTTACTTTAACCAAAATTGACAAGTGCAACAATAACAATTGTTTTACACTGCGTTGCAAAAGTGTAACAACAACTAGAACTATAAAACAGTAAATAAGACAAACAAAAAAAAAACATACCTGACAACAGAGTGAAAGCAACGGCCTAAAAATGCATGGAATCACGCACCTGTACCGCCAGCATGCCGTGGAAAAACAGCTGAGCGGCGGCGAGAGTTGGTCCCGCCAAATTTACCCGAGCTACGGCAGCAGTGCCGATGCCTCCTCGCAGGGCAGTCGCCTCTACAGCGTCGACTCCTCCAGCAGCTCCAGCTCCAATTCGAATAACTCGGGGGGCGGCGGAGGAGGATCAGCAGGTGGTGAGAATCTAGGAGGGGTCACCGGCAGCGCCTACGCCCAGTGGCAGAGCGATCGCCACTCGCTGCCGCAGGCGGTGCCCGATGCCCCAAGGTCGCTGGCCAACCACCACTACCGCAACTCGCCCACCCACCACGCCCACTACCACCAGCAGCAGCAACAACAGCCCACCAGCGGCAGCCTCAAGCGGACGCCCTCCTCGAAGCGCAGCTTCCTGGAACGATCTCACAGTCCGGCGATCTATGGCGTGAGTAAAAATTTCATGACAAGGGTGCAAACCGATCGATAACTCGATAACCAATTTTAGAACCCCTATATTTGGTCACAAAAATAATTTAAAAAATTATAGAATGTTAGTTCGGTTTGCATCTTTTAAACCGCGTCTATTTCAAAGGCCAAGTTAATACTAACTTAACAAAAAAAACTTGCAGAGCATGCGTCGTAGTGCAGGTCCAGACTTTGGCTCTCCGCCACCCACAGCCCCTGTGGGCGGGGGCGGCTACTTTCCCCACGATCTCGACGACATCTACGAGAGCCAGGCGGACCATCAGTATTTCACCCACACGGGTGCCAGCGGACAGCAGCAGCAACAGAGGCCCACGGCCATCTCGATCTTTCATCGCGTGAGTGCCGCCCACACCTCGCTGGATGACTATATCCCCTTGCCGGGCGAATCTTCGCGCCAGTCGATTAACAGCACAGACAGCGGAGTGAGCAACGGGCCCTTTAATCGCCAACGCTTCGACAACTCGTCCTTCGCCAAGAGTCTCAGCATCGACGAGCAGGAGCAGCAGCAGTCGCCCCACAAGGATGGCCATGGCAAGCACGGAAAGCACCACCATCACCATCATCACCACCATTCGATCCACGAGCTGGTAAAGCATTTCGGCAAGAAGATGCACCTGTGGCCAAGAAAGCACCACGACGCCCAGAGTGTTTGCACCTCACCGCAGAACGATCCGCAGGAGAACTTCCGCACCAGATCGAAGAGTTTGGATGTCAACACGCTCAGCCGCCCCAATCGCATTCTGGATGACTGGGGGGCCACCTACAAGATCTACGATCGCATAGTCAAAGAAGGTAAAGGGTTTTGGGATGGGTTATGCTACCGGTACTTGCTGTTCGATTAGGTTTAGCTTTACGAATTGAATTCTACTATCTAAAACTTGTACTTATAATAATTCGTATTCTATTAAAGGTGCTCATATGCGTCGTGCCTCAGCGGATTTGGAGAAACGCCGTGCTTCAGTTGGCGCCGCCGGTCGAGGGCTGCGAGGGGATGGTACGTTGGATCCACACCATGCAGCCATCCTCTTCAGAGACTCCAGAGGGGTAAGTTCGTAGCTATACCAAATTTATTATGATAAGGAAGGGAGCTAAAATGTAGATTAGACAAGTCCAGTTGAGAAATCGAAAAGACAACACAAGTTATCTACCTAACCAAAAGTAATTATAATCATCTTACAAACAATAAATATCTTTTGCGCCTCTACTTATTCAAGACGTTATCTTCTGAACTAAACGCAATAATATATCATCTTGCTTTTTCGCAAATATTTTTCCTTTCTTTTTCCCCCTTTTCTTATCGCCTTAAAAGGCAATCTGGCCGCTTCTCTGATTCAATGCTATTAATAGCTAAAAATACGCTTCTCTGTATTCCCCTCTTTTCTCAGACTTCTACTGTTTGACTCCCCTTTTTGTTTACCTCATTCAGTTCACTTCACCTTGACATTTGTGATTTACTCTGCCACCCGTTGAGAAATGCGTTTTCCCTGTTGCTTATATAATTCCCCCAAGGTCATGTGCAGTCATGTATATTTCATCTCTTCTGTTATCACCTGTTGAAGTGACAGGTTCAGTACTACAAAATATTTTTATTTTGAAGAGTTATTCTTATTTCATTCGAAACTCCAAATAATCCCTTATTTTGATATGTTTTTATTGCATACTTTGAGGATTTCGATATGCTACATTTCATGTAGATTACATGTAGAATACCACACGGCGTATTGAATGTGCTTATTACGTATACGTATTGTATCTGCGGTAATTGTGATAAGATTCGCCACCAAAGATCCCTACTTACAATGCAATTTAAGCGATATTGGTGAAATAGACTCGAATTAATGAATCACCGTATAATAAAAACCAGAAATCAAGATGATAGCTAATTTATTTCACTCATGGCTTTGTCATCAACATTGGATTAGTTGAAGAACTACCTTTCCCTGGGTTTTTTCGCCCACACCTACATATGTATGTAAACCCCAAGGTCGCATAATCGGCCTAATGGCCATTATACACAAACTGTTATTATATTGTTAGTCGGTTGTTATTGTTTATTCCGCACTCCACAACGTGGTCACCCATGGAAACGGGTTTATATCGATAGATAGAATCATGTGTGAAGTATTTTATTTTCGAATGCATATGCTCGGGAATTCTTTGCGAGAATTCTTTCTAACTTTTCTGTACTCTGACGTCAGCGGCTTGGGCTTTCACCGTTGAATTCTTTTTGCCATTCGATTGTTATTGGTATATGTCTGCTAATGATGATGATTAATTAGCCAAGTACTCTTCACATGTCAGACGTTTCTTACTATTCTTGGCTGTCTCTCTCTTTCTACGGTCTGCCTCTCTTTCTCTTTAGCAAGGCCACAATCTTGCAGTACCGTTTGCTTTACTTATCGCTTAAACAAAACAACAAATGTACACAGAAGCTCTTTGCTTTTCAATGCGTATTTTGTCTCTGAGTCAATTTACTGAATGAGTGTATTCGCTTTGAGTCGAGTACTTGATGCGCTTCTTCTTTTTCCGCCTGCAATGCAATGGCCTTCTTGAGCTTTTTGCTTGTGGGTGCAATTGGGTCTCTCTCGTTGAAGTCCCCTCTCTCTTTTTCTTCACATATGCCATCTCTGTCTGTGGACCGTTTGTTTGCTTTAACGATTTAACGATCAAGTCGAAAAGGAAATAAACGAGCGCCATTCTTCTGATACCCTCTTTCATCCGGTTAAATGGGTACTAGCGATTCTTCACTCTTTTCGGCTGCTCTCTCAAAGAAACCCCACAGGGAGAGACAGCGGAAAGATAAGCAAAGCAAACAAGGTGTAAGAAGTGAACCGTTGGACAAATAAAAAGTTTATTTCTGGTGCAGCCAACCCAGTTTTTTTATTGCACTTGAAAAATAATGTAAAATTTAATGATAATCATACACATTACATTTCTTCGAAACACTCGAAGTATATTTAACAATAGAGTGTTAAATAAATATACCTGAAGAATTTACTATAAAAGTTTTATTATTGTAATTCCTTTAAAGATTTTTAATTGAACAATTAATAAATAAAGTAATCCAATTCTTCTGAATAGATAAGTTTTATTCTTTTTTGGAGTGCTTTTTATCTTTCAGACTTTAAGCTTGTTTTCAAATGTGACTTTTGATTGCCGAAATAATACTTTAAAAAAATTTAATGAACGGTAGTGAAATTTCTACCAATTTATTTCGAGTGTATGTGCATTCTAGAGTGTTGTAGCTTCGTTACACTTACATTGCTGCCTGTCGCGTGTGTTCTTGTAGTTGCTCAAGCTTTAGCACTCTCGCGCACTTATCCGCTCTCCTAGGCCAGCTCTCTCCCGCTCTTCCTCCGCTCTTTGTGGTGGGGCGATCATGTGTGTGGGTTTGGATTCGCTCGGGGCTCGCAAAACTCTTAACCAGTGGCGTTTTTTTTAACCAGTTTTATTTTTCATTTGCGTGAGCGCAGACGTGTCCGGAAAACGAGCGAACGGAAACCCAGTGAATCGGAACGGAAGAACACGGCCGTACAATCCAAAAGATCCAACGGAGGGGTGTCGTCATTTCTTGTGCCACTTGATAAATCCGTCCGCCAGTGCTTTTTCCTCGAGTGCGGGCTTTTCATGTATCGCCGTCGCTATTCCGCCTTCGAGCCGAGCACGCCCCGCGTGGGAGTGCTACCCCCTCTGCCCCTCCAACATGCCGCCGCCACTGTCCCCGCCGCCCCTAAAACACCACCCAAATTGAGCGTACACTTTGACCCCAATTTGCCCAAAGACAACGACAGCAACAACAATATAAGCAGTGAAAATGCAAATGCTAAAAGCGGTCGCAAGGCGCGCTCGCTGAGCAATTCGCCGCTGTATCATCGCAAAAAGCGGTATGGCCATCTGCCGGCGCTGATGTCGAATAACGGGCCGACGGCCAGCAGCAACTATCAACTGTTGAACAGTGCAAATCTTCGCGATCTCGTCGACGGCCAACGCCACTCGCAGCACGTAAGCAGGCGCGATGACAACAGTAGTAGCCATAACCAAACGCAAAACCAAAAACAAAGCCACATTAGCCAAAGCAATCAAAGCATCCCAAGCCTTCCGAGCGGCAAAAGCAAGGCAAAAGATGGCAAAAAGCTAAAGGCAACTTTAACGGCGGCCATGTCATCATCGCTGCTGCGACGCAAGGCGCACAGCAATCACAGTCAACAGCAGAAAATGCAACAGCAGCAGCAACAGCAACAAGAGCTGCAACAGCAGAAGCAACAACAGCAACAGCAGCAGCTAAGGAGTAACAGCAACACAATTGCAAATGCTGCCCGCCATTCGCTGGGTCATTCACCCTCTGCTGCCGCGGCCTCTGCTTCGGTGCAGCAGACGCTCGTCTACGAGCGACGGCGCGTCAGCAGCGCCCACTCCTCCCCCTCCCCGCGCCACCACTCGCCGGTGCACCAATGCCTGCTGATGCGGCGGCGCAGCGACTACAGCGTCGAGCAGATCGAGCAGTGGAAGCGCCAACAACAATTGTTGCCTCGATCCGGACGCAAGATTAGCGTAAGTGCACTGGAAGAAAAATGTATAGAAAATATGTAATGATGATTTTACATACCAGGATTTCAAATTGGAGTATTTAAATATTTAAATTACCCTTACCAATCTACCAGGAGAAAAAAATAATCAAAATATGTTGATTAAACATCCAGATGCACTTTTTTTCTGTGTGGAAAATGCATTGAAATGAAAACAAAGGAAAACCATCGAGTGTGTGTCAGTAACAAAGCTTTGAGGGGGAAGCTTTTCCGCCCATTGAATTCGGCTGAATTCAGTGCAATATATATTTAGAAAAAATGAGGGTCAGCATTATAATGCACATAGGAAAAATACTCTTCAGAGCGTAATGCAATGGAATGTAATTTATTTTTATATTGATTATATTCTGATTGGCAAAATTAAAGATCAAGTCAATTTATCGTTTTCAATAGAAATTGTAGAAAAAAAGTTATTATTCAACATCGGATATCTTGAAAATAATAATATTTCTCTGTGTGCACACTTTTCTTGACCCCATTTTTTACTACAAAAGAGCATGACGGGAGGTAAAGAGAATGATTGCGGGCATAATCGTTTAGGCTAAACCAAAATTGGCCCGTACTCGTATGCGAGCGTAATTTTTCAATTGCCGTATCTGATACGGGGCACTTGTCCCACTCCCCTCCTCACTCCCCGCCTCCCTCCTCTCGCTAATGTGTCATAATTCCACAATTGCACATTTCAATGTTAATTCAAAGCTACTCGAACGAGTGAACATACACCTCCTCACCCCTTTTCCACCCTGCTCATAAATATTTCATTGGCGCTAGAATTGTTTTTGTTTCTCTGGGTTTTATCTGTGATTTCGCTCGTTGATTTACAGATAACGTATATGAGAACTGTATCAGCGCAATTTGAACTATTATTTACGCAGCGTTCCCTTATTGTTTACGTTTGCCATTGTATTGTTCACATTTTATAATCCTTGAAAAAGCTCCAATCACTGTGACCCACATATAATATCGCCAATAGAATAATATCGCCAATAATATTAGAAGGGTGTGAAGAAAGCGGAAGCGTATGAATATCTTGATATAGGGGAAACAAGGTGTAAATAATACTACGCCTGAAATAACTTGCGTAACGTTTTACTAATGTAGATGTGTACATTTTACGACTTTTCAAGTTAGCTCGTTTATTTCTTTAATGATAGTTCAGTTTGCACTTGCCTTATGTAGTTAACAGCTATAAATTAAGTTTTATCATTTTGAAAGTAAATAGACGAGGTTTATAAACGAAGAAAACTTGATTTTCAACTGGACTTGTATAAATGTTGCAAAATTAACAGTATAAAACTGTTAAAAGTGAATGGATGATTCGTTTATATTATTACATTTTCATTGTTTTAATCAAAGCATTATGTGTTTCATTCCAGTTACCTGTCGCTGATCCGTTCCTAGAGAAAGTAAACCTATCGGACCTGGGTAAGTTTTCGAACCACCCTCTTCTTCCCTTCTACTGCCACTGCCGCCCCTTGAGACAAACAAAAATGTTTAATTTAAATAAATTAGCAAACACACTTGGCATTCAGCTCAAAGAAGCTGGGTTGACAAAAATGAAATTTTTTAAATTTGAATAGCGGAATCGTTTGCCCATCTTTTGCCCATGTTTGCCCACCAATTAGTTTTTTTTGCCCACGTCCAGTTTTCGAGATATAAAATTTCGAAAATTTTCGAAAATTTTCGAAAGTCACAAATTTTTGGAATTCGATTTTTTTTTTTTTAATCGTAAGAAAATCGTTTGCCCACGTTTGCCCACCTTTTAGAATTTTGAAAAAATTTATACTTCAAAAGTTATCTTAATTATAAGTTTTTCCTTAAGAAAAAATCGTTTGCCCACCCTTTAAAACTGAATATTTTTGGAAAAAAACGTTTGCCCACCTCTTAAAACTAAAAAATATTGACTGCCCACCCTTTAAAAATACATTTTTATAAAAATTATCGTTTGCCCACCTCTTAAAACTAAAAAATATTCACTGCCCACCCCTTAAAACTAAATATTAATGAAAATAATCGTTTGCCCACCCCTTAAAACTAAAAAATATTCACTGCCCACCCCTTAAAAATACATTTTTATAAAAACAAACGTTTGCCCACCTCTTAAAACTAATTTTATATAAAAACCATCGTTTGCCCACCTCATAAAACTAAAAAATATTCACTGCCCACCCTTTAAAAATACATTTTTATAAAAACAAACGTTTGCCCACCTCTTAAAACTAAAAAATATTCACTGCCCACCCCTTAAAACTAATTTTATATAAAAACCATCGTTTGCCCACCTCATAAAACTAAAAAATATTCACTGCCCACCCCTTAAAAATACATTTTTATAAAAACAAACGTTTGCCCACCTCTTAAAACTAAAAAATATTCACTGCCCACCCCTTAAAACTAATTTTATATAAAAACCATCGTTTGCCCACCTCATAAAACTAAAAAATATTCACTGCCCACCCTTTAAAAATAAATTTTTATAAAAACAAACGTTTGCCCACCTCTTAAAACTAACAAAAATATTCACTGCCCACCCCTTAAAATTAATTTTATATAAAAACCATCGTTTGCCCACCCCTTAAAACTGAAAAATATTCACTGCCCACCCTTTAAAAATAAAATTTTTATAAAAACAAACGTTTGCCCACCTCTTAAAACTAAAAAATATTCACTGCCCACCCCTTAAAACTAATTTTATATAAAAACCATCGTTTGCCCACCTCATAAAACTAAAAAATATTCACTGCCCACCCTTTAAAAATACATTTTTATAAAAACAAACGTTTGCCCACCTCTTAAAACTAAAAAATATTCACTGCCCACCCCTTAAAATTAATTTTATATAAAAACCATCGTTTGCCCACCCCTTAAAACTGAAAAATATTCACTGCCCACCCTTTAAAAATAAATTTTTATAAAAACAAACGTTTGCCCACCTCTTAAAACTAAAAAATATTCACTGCCCACCCCTTAAAATTAATTTTATATAAAAACCATCGTTTGCCCACCCCTTAAAACTGAAAAATATTCACTGCCCACCCTTTAAAAATACATTTTTATAAAAACAAACGTTTGCCCACCTCATAAAACTAAAAAATATTCACTGCCCACCCTTTAAAAATACATTTTTATAAAAACAAACGTTTGCCCACCTCTTAAAACTAATAAATATTGACTGCCCACCTCTTAAAAATTAATTTAAAAATGTTTTTAAACCGATTACCAGCTCAGAGAAGCTGGGTCGGGTAAAATTAAAATTTCGAATTTTTAATATGGGAATAGTTTGTCCACGTTTGACCACCTTTTAGTTTTATTTGTCCACGTCCAGTTTCAAAAATATGGGATTTCGAAAATTTTCGAAAATCAAAAGGTTGAATTTTTCAAATTTTTTTGTATGGAATTGTTTGTCTATCGTTTGTCCACGATTGTCCACCCTTTAGAATTTTGAAAAAGTCAAAACTTTAGAAAATACAATGTGCATAAAGTTAGCAATGCAACTTTTGAAAATGCAAATTTTTTTCTATCGACAATTTGCCGTTATTTTTCCGTAAATTATTCGTGAAAGAACAAGATTTGCCGCTCAATTATTTTTAAAATTATGAGATGTTCTGCTAAGTTGATATCAACCCCCACTAAAGTGCAAAATTTCCAAAATCTTTTTTAATAGGAATTTGCAGTTATTTATCCGTAAATGATTCGCGTAAGAAAAAGTTTAGTTGCTCTTGCTTTAACATTTTTTTTTTTTTAAACAAAATTGTTCTGAATTATTTGAAAAAATTCAACCTTTTGATTTTCGAAAATTTTCGAAATCCCATATTTTTGAAACTGGACGTGGACAAAAAAAACTAAAAGGTGGTCAAACGTGGACAAACTATTCCCATATTAAAAATTCGAAATTTTAATTTTACCCGACCCAGCTTCTCTGAGCTGGTAATCGGTTTAAAAACATTTTTAAATTAATTTTTAAGAGGTGGGCAGTCAATATTTATTAGTTTTAAGAGGTGGGCAAACGTTTGTTTTTATAAAAATGTATTTTTAAAGGGTGGGCAGTGAATATTTTTTAGTTTTATGAGGTGGGCAAACGTTTGTTTTTATAAAAATGTATTTTTAAAGGGTGGGCAGTGAATATTTTTCAGTTTTAAGGGGTGGGCAAACGATGGTTTTTATATAAAATTAATTTTAAGGGGTGGGCAGTGAATATTTTTTAGTTTTAAGAGGTGGGCAAACGTTTTTTTTATAAAAATGTATTTTTAAAGGGTGGGCAGTGAATATTTTTTAGTTTTATGAGGTGGGCAAACGATGGTTTTTATATAAAATTAGTTTTAAGGGGTGGGCAGTGAATATTTTTTAGTTTTAAGAGGTGGGCAAACGTTTGTTTTTATAAAAATTTATTTTTAAAGGGTGGGCAGTGAATATTTTTTAGTTTTATGAGGTGGGCAAACGATGGTTTTTATATAAAATTAGTTTTAAGGGGTGGGCAGTGAATATTTTTTAGTTTTAAGAGGTGGGCAAACGTTTGTTTTTATAAAAATGTATTTTTAAAGGGTGGGCAGTGAATATTTTTTAGTTTTATGAGGTGGGCAAACGATTATTTTCATTAATATTTAGTTTTAAAGGGTGGGCAATCATTATTTTTTAGTTTTAAGAGGTGGGCAAACGATGGTTTTTATAAAAATGTATTTTTAAAGGGTGGGCAGTGAATATTTTTTAGTTTTATGAGGTGGGCAAACGTTTGTTTTTATAAAAATGTATTTTTAAAGGGTGGGCAGTGAATATTTTTCAGTTTTAAGGGGTGGGCAAACGATGGTTTTTATATAAAATTAATTTTAAGGGGTGGGCAGTGAATATTTTTTAGTTTTAAGAGGTGGGCGAACGTTTGTTTTTATAAAAATGTATTTTTAAAGGGTGGGCAGTGATTTTTTTTTAGTTTTATGAGGTGGGCAAACGATGGTTTTTATATAAAATTAGTTTTAAGGGGTGGGCAGTGAATATTTTTTAGTTTTAAGAGGTGGGCAAACGTTTGTTTTTATAAAAATGTATTTTTAAGGGGTGGGCAGTGAATATTTTTTAGTTTTAAGGGGGGGGCAAACGATTATTTTCATTAATATTTAGTTTTAAGGGGTGGGCAGTGAATATTTTTTAGTTTTAAGAGGTGGGCAAACGATAATTTTTATAAAAATGTATTTTTAAAGGGTGGGCAGTCAATATTTTTTAGTTTTAAGAGGTGGGCAAACGTTTTTTTCCAAAAATATTCAGTTTTAAAGGGTGGGCAAACGATTTTTTCTTAAGGAAAAACTTATAATTAAGATAACTTTTGAAGTATAAATTTTTTCAAAATTCTAAAAGGTGGGCAAACGTGGGCAAACGATTTTCTTACGATTAAAAAAAAAAAAAATCGAATTCCAAAAATTTGTGACTTTCGAAAATTTTCGAAAATTTTCGGAATTTTATATCTCGAAAACTGGACGTGGGCAAAAAAAACTAATTGGTGGGCAAACATGGGCAAAAGATGGGCAAACGATTCCGCTATTCAAATTTAAAAAATTTCATTTTTGTCAACCCAGCTTCTTTGAGCTTTGGCATTCGATCAAGAGTCGGCCTCTGAGGATTTGCTTTGGGCACACGACGCCATCGGCGAAATAGAATAGAACCTGATATATATATAGGTAGTCCGAAGAAGAATAAGACGAGGTATAGAATCGAAGTCATAATTCACAGGGATTATGGTAGCAGCAATGGCCGATTCGACTGTTGACGTGGGCGACATGGAACATAATCGTTAGGGAAAGTAGATATATTTTTGGTTTTATTCCCGCTAAGAATAGTTTGGGTTCTGTTAGAAAGTTCTTAAAGCAGCAGATCCACCCGAACACACCCCCAAAAGATTGTTTTTATTTTTCGTTTTTACCAAAGCTAATTATAAGTTCCAAGTACGCCGGAGACCACTCTAGGAAAATACGCAAGTGAGGGTACTAATGAGAACCGAGAGGTAGGAAAATAGTGCATGTAATTTGTTGGCAATTTCAGGCATTTCATGATCCTCATTAACGTCAATTCCCAACCGATCCGATCCAAACCGATCTCTCACCAAAGATTATATTCAATTTATTTAGTGCTCTGAGAACTTTTCGATTTCGTTGCGCCGTTTCTGCTCTGAGCGTTTTTCCCATTTGTATTTTGTTCAGTCTATTATTTGTTTGTTTTTGCGCTTTTCCCTGACGAAAAACTTTTCCGAACCAGAGAGCTACAGCTAGATAGAGGGAGAGGAGATGGAAAACACAGACTGCAGATCAGTTTATGATAAAATTTCGAATCGTTTAGAACGTCGCCAACGAAGACGGGCAGACGACAAAAATTCGGCAATATTCCGTGTGTTTTCCGTGTGTGAATTATTGGCAGCAGGAACCATTCTCGATCCACATATATGTTTAGTCTATATGTGCAAAAGTGTGTCTATGGATATTGCCCAGTGTCGTAGGAATTACTTGCCACAACCCAACAATCGAATCGACCAACTGTAAAGCAAAGTCGACCCATCGAAGGTCTTCGCTTCTCTCTTAGTCATTCGCAAAGAATTTTCGAATAGCGCCGCGACGCCAAAAGCAACTGAACCATCACAACCGCCTCCTCGTACCGCCCAATTGCCCCCTCCCGTTGTGAAAATGGGATTTCAATTGTTTTGATCCCACACACAGCAAAATAGCAGAATAATCAACAAAACCCACAACGCTAAGGAGCATTTCAATTAACTCGTATGGCCCGTGGCCCGCTGTCAAAAGAAACGCAAATCGCAGAAACGTATAGAATCGAAATCGATAACCCATATATACCTTTGCATTCACTTATGAATATATGCACTGAAAACCAATCAAACCGATAATATTGAGTGGAAGAGAGAAGAAGTACGAACAAGAATGAAGAGACCTTCACCCATCTGGCCAGGCTTTTTATCTCGATTTCTTTCGACTTTCTTTATCTGTTCGAACTGCTCGCCGCCCGGCAACCGCAGTAAATTCCATTTATTAAACAACATTTAAATGTTTACACAGCTTAGTCGGAAAATCTTTTGCCATTTTGCATATAGCTCCAAATATTTTACAATTTATTTAGACGTCTGTATATATTTTCCTGCCGAGCTATCTGGCCTTCGTTTTTTTCCTATATTATTTCTGGTCGTCTCTAAACTTTCTGTTTGTCTTTTTGCTTATTTTGCGGTGGACATTATCCGGATTATTTGTTTAAAATTCTTGTAGCAAAGGTATTTAAAATCTCAAATAAACTAGTTTATTTCATTACTTTTGAAATACAAAAATCAATTTCAATTATTATTTGATCCAGGTGATCCAAGCCCATGCCAAAAAAAGCCTTTTGAGTAGAAAATAATTTGGCAATAAATTATTCTGTGAACTGTAAAGAAAATAAATTATTTCCCAAATACTTTTCCAAATGCATTTTCCCTAAAGAATCGAAATAATCCCTATAGACATTCGAGATTTCAGTGTTGAGGCCTTATGCAGCGGTTAATTAATTTCTTGGCACAACTGTCTGTCACAATATCTGTTATGTGTCGCTATAATGGCTCCGACAAATGCTGAATCGGCGAATGTTTGGCTTGCATTTATCAGGCCCCTGACAAGACCGATCTACAGCCCCTGTGCTTTTATATAGTTTTTGATTAACACCTTTTGGCCCCGCCTCAATATTTATTTGTTTACATTGTGCCAGAGCCGTCTACATTCTACCCCTCTCTCTTGGGTTCTCTTTGTCTCGATGAGAATTGAAATAATATTTATTGTTGAACAATTTGGTGAATCTATTCTATTTTGGTGTGTTTGGCTTCTGTTGGTTGTGTCGTACGCTAAATTTATTTTAATTAAAAATGTCTTAATTTAATTTAACGAAACGCGTGCGCCTAGAAATTGATGGCAGAGGTTTTGTTCTTTTTTTGGGTTCGGTTACGGTAAGGGCACATCAATATAAATTCACTGCCTTAGCTAGATGCAGTGAGAAGCGCGTAGAGCGGCGCAGTCTGTTAGCAAGTTGGTCGATCAATTAGGCGAAGCAATTAACAGAGCAAATCGAGTCGCCCAGTTAATTGCTAGCGCCCACAGACCTCAGACGGAAGACCAGATCAGATCGGATCGGAACAGACTAGCGTAATGCGGCACTGAAGATCGATAGAAAAAAAAAACAATATACACCCTGAAAAGAGTAAACAGTCAAAGTAGAGCAGAGTGGGAACCCAGAACGCATGTTACAGTTGCACTTCTATTCGAATCATGCGGGTCGTCTGGTGCTGGGAGGTGGCAACGGTCGCCCGGCCGACGTCCTTTGCTATCCATTGGAGAGCATCAAAGAGTTTGAGCAGATCTCGGAGGCCTGGAAGCGTCTGCTAGCTGAGCTACTCAAGAAAGGTGCCCAATTTAGACCCCAAATCTCCTAAATCTGCAGCCCAAGCAGCTCCCGTAAACCTTTTTATTAACCCATTTGTTTCTTTTCCTATTTCCGCAGAGGAGGACGACTCACAGATCTTCGTGAAGTTCTTTCGCTTTCACAAGTGCTATGATCTAATACCCACCTCCGCCAAGTTGGTCGTCTTCGACACGCAGCTTCTCGTAAAGAAGGCCTTCTACGCTCTGGTCTACAACGGGGTGCGGGCGGCACCGCTCTGGGATTCGGAGAAGCAGCAGTTCGTGGGCATGCTGACCATCACGGACTTTATCAAGATCCTGCAAATGTATTACAAATCGCCAAACGCGTCCATGGAGCAGCTGGAGGAGCACAAACTGGACACGTGGCGAAGTAAGTGTCCTCAAACAATGCTGTTTTATGATAACCAACTAATTATATTTCCTCTGCCAGGTGTGCTGCACAACCAGGTGATGCCGTTGGTCAGCATCGGGCCGGATGCCTCCCTCTACGATGCCATCAAAATTCTCATCCACAGCCGCATTCATCGCCTGCCCGTCATCGATCCGGCGACCGGCAATGTCCTCTACATCCTGACACATAAACGCATACTGAGGTTCCTCTTCCTATACGTAAGTGTTTGCGGCTTAATAGTAATCCCATTTCAAGAATAATCATTTAATATCTTTAATGCACAGATTAATGAATTACCAAAGCCCGCGTACATGCAAAGGAGTTTGCGCGAACTGAAGATTGGCACCTACAATAACATAGAGACCGCCGACGAGACGACGAGCATCATCACGGCGCTCAAGAAATTTGTGGAGCGACGCGTTTCAGCCCTGCCACTGGTGGATGCCGAGGGACGGCTCGTCGACATCTATGCAAAGTTTGATGTGATTGTAAGTATCCAGCTGGGATCTCCCCTCAGAAATCCCTAGGGATTTCAAGTTTATTGGGGTTGGTTAGGATTATTTGGTTTAATTGCAAAGATTTCAACCTAAAGAATTTTTATTTTAGGTTTAGTTTCTTACAATATAGGTTTATTAAATATTTGTTGAAGAATATATACATATTTCTGTAATAATAGATAATGATTAAGATGTTTATATATTGGATTCAAAACTTCCAAATTATATTACAATTTTAACTTTTATTTTTTTTAATGTTTTAAAAATCAGAAAAACTTTAAAGGATTTATATTAAGAAAGTAAAATTTTTAATATTTCTTTGTTTAACGGAATTTTTAATGACTTGATTTGATTTATTATTTTAGCAATTGTACTAACTTTTTCGATTCAAAATCATTAATATCTCGTTTTCCTTTCTTCAGAATCTCGCTGCCGAGAAAACCTACAACGATCTCGATGTCTCGCTGCGCAAGGCCAACGAGCACCGCAACGAGTGGTTCGAGGGCGTGCAGAAGTGCAATCTGGACGAGTCGCTGTACACGATCATGGAGCGCATCGTCCGCGCCGAGGTCCATCGGCTGGTGGTGGTGGACGAGAACCGCAAGGTGATCGGCATCATCTCGCTGTCGGACATCCTGCTCTACCTGGTACTGCGGCCAAGTGGCGAGGGCGTCGGTGGGTCAGAGAGCTCGCTGCGCGCCTCCGATCCCGTCCTGCTGCGCAAAGTGGCCGAGGTGGAGATACCAGAGGCTGCCACAGCGACGACGACAACGCCCCCGCCTCGCAGTCCTTCCGCAGGATCCGGCAATCGCAGCCTGATCGAGGACATACCCGAGGAGGAGCCGACGCCGGCGAGGAGCGACGACAGTGCCGACAGTGATAACAACAAGTCCGCCAGTGAGGATAAGGCCAACAACAACAACCAGCACGATCAGACGACGACGACGGCGGCGGCGGCGACAGCTAATGGTGATAGCAGCAACAGTCCCGTGGAAGTGTCCTTCGCCGATGAGGCGCACGAAGAAGAAGCCGCCGACCAGGTCGAGCGCAGCAATTGTGATGATGATGACCAGGAGGCGCTGGCGGAGATTGAGCGCAAGAAGGCATCGATGGACGACGACGACGACGATGGGCTGAGCAGCGCCGTGTCCGCTGCCTCCGCTTTGGGCCAGTCACTGACGCCCGCGGCGCGAGAAATGGCGTTGGTTAGTGAATAAACCCTTAATTTAAATTAAACACAAGCTAAAGATATACAGCTACAGCTGCTACTACAGAAACAGAAACAGATAGAGAAACAATTGCTAAACAAGAACTAAGAACCCAAACACACAACAATAATGATAAAGCAGAGAAAATTATATTTGAATATTAATAGTTGTTAAGGATATATTATTACAATTATGAAATATTATGTATTTTACAACAAGCAACTAAAAGCAAAACAAAAACAAAAAGCTGTTAACAAGATGTTTATATATACACACACAAGAAAACGAAAACAAAAACAAAACAACAAATTACATTAGAATGTCTTTAAATTTTAAACGATGTAATTGATTATTATATGATAGTACAGTACAAGTCAAAAATTGCGTTTTGTATGGGCTGGAGGGGGTTTTAACCAGGAATGGAATCCGGAAATTCACAGGTTTTTGCTTTAAAAGCTTGTTTCGATTAGAAATTTCAGAGTCTAAAAGTCTATTCAAATTAAAATATCCCACTCACCTTCCCTTTCACCGCTTTACTTTGAACATTTCTAAAAATACGATCTACAAAGGTATATAAAGGTTTTATTTTGTATCATGACGTGAATATGATACGATATGATTATTAATTATTTTAAAAAAAACCCAACAATTGCGTTCCATGAGTTTTTTCAAACCTTTCGAAAGTGGCTGTTTTATAGATAGACAAATAAGTCGTCCTTTAAGCTTGGGAACCTAATTTAACAGAATTGCGACAAAAAAACATTAAATTTTGCTATAATATCATACCCGCTATTTTTTTATAAAAAGTTAATTATTTCTTAAAGAACAAAGCAAAACATATTAAAAAATTCGTAATTAAATGTTCAATTAAACGTAAAAAATTAAAAAAATCAAATGCTCTAAATAACAAATGACATAACGCGTTGAGTTGGTAATGAAATTCCCAATCGATGGGGAACCAAAAATTTTAATTTTCGAAGATATTTTGCAAAAAATCGTGATGTAACCCCTTACCAAAAATGCTGAAATTGGCCAAAAAATAAATTTTTTAAATCTAACCGAAACTGATGTGGATCGTTAGCTTGGGCTGTTAGCTAGACAATAAAGTCGGTTTTATTAAGTAGGGCACACATTTTATGATAATTATAACGAAATAACACATAAATGATTCCCTTTGGCCAGGTGCCAAATCAGTTAACTTGGCTATAAAATAGCTGAATTAGCATCCCTGCTGCCAACTAGGTCGCTATCTTGACCCGCAGACCATATGTTCATTTTGTTGACGTTTACTTTTTTTTGCCAAACCAAAAAGCATTGCGCACCAGGTTGAAAAGCCTCCAGACACATTCACAATGGAGCTGGTCATTCTCGTGGGGATCGCCACGGCCCTTTTGGTCGTGATCATCACGCTGTACTTCCTGCAGAAGAAGAAGGAAGGTCCAGGTGAGTCCGAAATTACATAGTTCCAATCTTCTGGAAAGCAACTTATCCATGACCCCAAAATATGTAGAAACCAAGCCAGCTGCGGCCCCACAACGTGGCGTTCCACAGCGCGCCCAGGAGGGAGTTCCACGTCGGGCTCAAATAGCCAGGAATCAACGAAACCGGCTGCGCCAGAATGCTCCTGCGGCTGCAGTTGCTCCGGCAGCAGGAGCAGCGCCTCCTGCCCCTGGCGACTCCGACAACGAGGATGAGGCCCAGTTAGATGCCGATGGAGCTCGCGTGCCGCAGGGCGCGGTGCTGGACGAGAAGATGGGCGCCAAGAAGCGGGCCAAGATGGAGGCCAAGGAGCAGAAGCGACTTCAGCGGGAGCAGGAACTGCACGACCGCGAGCAGCGGAAGGTGAAGGAGGCCAAGGAGGAGGCGGAACGCAAGCAGCAGGAGGATCTCGATGCGGAGGCGGAGCGCAAGCGGGCGGAGGCCGAGCGCCTGGCCAAGGAGGAGCGGGAGCGCAAGGAGCACGAGGAGTACCTGAAGATGAGGGCCGCCTTCAGCGTGGAGGAAGAGGGCTTCGAGGAGGGTGACGCCGACGAACAGGACAACCTGCTGGCCGACTTCATACAGTACATAAGGGACAACAAAGTCGTTGTCCTGGAGGATCTGGCCGTGGCCTTCAAACTGAAGACGCAGCAGGCCATCGATCGCATCCAGGAGCTGCAGGCCGATGGCACCATCACCGGCGTCATCGACGATCGCGGCAAGTTCATCTACGTTTCCGAGGAGGAGCTCGCCGCGGTGGCCAAGTTCATCAAGCAGCGCGGACGCGTCTCCATTGCCGAGCTGGCCGAGAGCAGCAACAACCTGATTAACCTGACGCCCGTTTCCGTCTCCGCCGGCGAAGGCAGCGCCTGATGAGATTTTTTAGCCATTTATAAATTAAATTTATATATTTTAGATGCGATGTGTTGGTAGAATAACAAGAACAAAAGGAAAAGATGTAATGGCTTATGCTTTCTCATTTCTCATTGCATCCGGATCCTTGGCCTTGCACTCTTTACACTCGCAGACCAGCAAGAAGGTGTCGCCCTTCAAGTGGACACTGCGATTCCGCTTAGCGCTGGACAGGAGGTTCGCCAATTGGACATTGGATGCGTAGTGGCTGCCTTTTGGATTGCCAGGAATCTCCGGCGCAGACTTGATGAGGAATTTTCCAGCAACTGTGGGGGTAGAAAAGGCAATGTAATCAGTTGATAACCATGAAACTTATATCCACTTACATTCTTCCACTTTGGCTGGAAGCAATTCACTGATAAGGATTTCCTCTTTTTCATTCGTTGAATCCGGATTCTCCAGCTGCAAAATCCATTGTGAGATGGTGCTGGAAGTAAATCCCTGTCCAGTGGGACCCAGGATGCTCATAAGGGCCTTAAAGGCCTCTGGTGTCCTGAACTAATTTTTTTAAGGAAACTTGTTATTAGTTTTATTCTCTAAAGGACCCTCCGTATATTTACTTACCCTTTTCAGCTCTTCTTCCTTAAAAAGTTGGCAGTATTCAAGGTACAAAGAAGACCTCCTGAATAAAAGATGGTACTGGATGGCCAATAGAATAACCAGCACTACAACCTGGGCAACGCAGCAATATTTTATAGTAAAGAATACACTTTCGCTGGTCTGCCGAAATCGCTCCTCCCGGAAGCGCTGGTAGTTCTGATTCTTGAAGATATCCTCTGCCTGATTCATGAGCTGGAGAACCCGCAACTGCAGGTTATCCATTTGCTGCTTCCGCCTAAAATTTGCATAATCCACAGTTTGCTCGCCCACTTTTATCTCCAAGTGAACACGGAGGACGCCAGTGAACCAGTCAGAACCTTTGGGTTGCAGGCAGATGTGGTGGTCACCCGGCCAAAAGGTGGTAAACAAAAGTCGGGCCTCCGAATCGTAGACGCGGGAAAGCACAATCTTACCATCGCTGTCGCGGATGTCCACGTGCATTCCCTTGCCAGGGGACACGGGCATGGTACCTTCGGAACTTGGATCCTCCTTCTCCACTTTGTAATGAACTAAAAGAAAACGAAGGAGTGGTTAAAAATGGCTCGAAATTAGAGGTACGATTCGGAATCTACCAATCACTTGAGTATCTTCCGGCGTCTCTTGGATGAAGCATTTTCGCTCATTTGCCCGCATATGGAAGTACAGGCCGGAAGTGCTCTGCAGGATGCACTGGAGCAGGACAACGGATATTAACAACTTTAGCATGTTTAACAACTTCAATTAAAACGACATATATTTGCACACTTTGTTGAAATACAAAATATACTATCTACAATGTATACAGAAAGCGGATCGCGCTATAAAGCTTATTGATAACCAAGTGTTGGATAACGTTCTCCAGCCAGGAGTGGATGGGGGAGTGGATGACTAAGCCTTGCATATAAAGTGTGCGCTCGATAGAGAACAAAAATTAATATTAAAGGTATTATTGGGAAAATTATTATTAGAAAAAGTCAACGTTTTCTTCATACCATAATTTTTCGCTAATTTTCCATCGCCTTTCTAGAACTAAGACCTTTCCATGTTTCTTCAAAATCTTTAACATTTATTCTAGAATCTATATATACTCTGTAGCTCATTTTTCGCTCTTTAAAAAACATTTTCTTAGGCTAGTTCATCTCGTCATCATCGTCGTAGTCGTCCATTTCATCGTCATCCTCGTCGTCATCGCTGGTCTCATCGGGATCAGAGGCCTGGGCTCGACACTTGGGGCACTGGCAGACGAATATATAGTTTTCGCGCAGAACCTTGTGCCTCGAGTGGCGACTCCGCTCCAGCATGCATTCGTCCAGGTAGGAGATGCAGATCTCTTCTCCCTCTTGAATGGGCGCCAAGGCCTTGAGCACCACAATGTCGTTGGAATATGGAAAAGTGGAGCAGGCATTCGGTACGCAACTGTGGTTGATCTTGCTCTGCAGGAGATACAGACCGGAGCCCTCGTTGTTCAGGAATTCGCCAGCAACTGTTGGGAGGGAAATCAAATGATTTAGCATAAATTATCCCTTTTATTAGTACTCCTTGTGTGGTCTTACATTCTCCGACTTTGGCGTAGAGCCCATCGATTACCGTGTCCAGCTGGGCTTTATCCGCATCCGGCAGTGGCAGATCCGACACCTTGACGACCCATTGGGAAAGCACGCTTGTCGCGATGCCCTGGCTGTTGGTACCCATAATGCCCATCAGGGTTTTAAAAGCATCCGGCGTGGTGAACTGAAAAGTAAAGGTTACCAATTGAGGCAAAATGTAACCTTTCCCTGAGAAAATACACACCATGGCGAACTCCTCGCCGGGGAAGGCATTGCAGAACGCCAGATACAGCTGCTCCATCTGCTGCTCGAAGTTCTCGCCCAGCATTTTGTGGTAGATCTTCTGCTCGCGATTCACAATCAGCGCCTGGAAGGACTGCAGTTGCTCGAGGAACTCGGCCTTCTTGCTGCTCTGCTGATAGAGCGCCATTAGGCGCACGATCAGCATTATACTGCCCGTCTCCGGGGGATAGTGCATCTTCTTCCAGGTCTCGTTGAGGATATTAATGGGATGCGAGTCGTCCGAGCGGAAGGCTCCCATGCAGGCCAGCCGGTGGTAGCGCTTCTGGGCCTCCATCAGGCAGTCCTCGGAGCAGTAGCGAACCTTGCAGCGCGGACACTGGGTGAACTGGGCCACCCACTGGGCGGTGGGATCGTGTTGGAGCAGCGGCACCTCCACTTGGGGATCGCTGGCCAGGCGGCGGACATTCTCCAGCACCGTTTCCAGCGGCCGCATGCAGTGGTCGCAGGCCACGTAGCCGTAGGCCACGTTCCACGAGAATTGCCGGGACACAAAGGGTTCCTCTTCGAAGATCACCTCCTCCGCCGCAAAATTCTTGGTCGCGAACATCGCACGACCCTGGGGAAATACGTCATTAGGGTGGGTTGGATGGCATCCTGAAGATCACTTACCTTTCCGGGCACCTCCCGAATCTCAAAGTGATTCATTATTGTCTAATTGGACTTGGGTTTTGGCCAAAAAAACTCGGTTACCACGCACGTGGTATTTGTATTGTATATAAACAAAAGGAAGATTGTCATCGATATTACAGGGCAATCGTTTTTACCGGGAGCAGGAGAGTGGCAGCTAGACAACTTGAAGCAAAATACCAAAACGCGTTATAACGATAATTTGAAATTTAAATTTAAACCGTTATTATTCAACCCAAATTTTAAGACAGAAATTGCACTGTTTCATGCTTCGCAATAGCACAACATTTTCTTTGTTTTTAGGACATATTTCTTAAGGCCAGAGAAACTAGAATGCTTTTAAATAAACTCACCTTAAGGGTTCGAAAATGTCCCCCAAATGGTATTAGAAAGGAAAATCAAAAACGCACTTTACAACAGTCTTTAATTTCCAATCAAATATTTGTAAACTTCTCAACAGAATTCTAGCATTGAATAAAATAAAAATGTATTATTTAAACATCGATAATTGATAAGCATCGATTTTTACAAGCAGTTTTCTCACTTTTTTCGATGTTTACAAGCAGTTTTGTTTATCGAAGTCCTATCGATACACAAATCCTGAAGAAGAGAAAAAATAAGACTTTTGTTGGTCCTGGTTTTTTTGCTGTCCTCCAAAGAACCCGGCCCGTGAAAAATGGCAGACGAAGCGGGCACCCCAGCCGATGGCCAGCGGCAGTTTATTTGCGGCGTGATCGAGGGCTTCTACGGCCGGCCGTGGACGACGGAGCAGCGCAAGGACCTGTTCCGCAAGCTGAAGAGCATGGGAATGGGCTCCAGTCCCTCCTACATGTATGCGCCGAAGGACGACTACAAGCACCGGGCCTACTGGCGGGAGCTGTACACCGTGGAGGAGGCGGATCACCTGTCCAGTAACTAACCTTTGAGCCATGCAAATCACAAATCCCCCGGTTAAGCTAAGACTTTCCCTTCCTTGCAGGTCTGATTGCGGCGGCCAAGGAGGCGGGCATCACCTTCTACTACGCCCTGTCGCCTGGACTGGACATGACCTACAGCAGTCCCAAGGAGATCGCCACGCTGAAGCGCAAGCTGGACCAGGTTTCGCACTTCGGCTGCGAGGCCTACGCCCTTCTGTTCGACGACATCGAGTCGGAGCTCTCGAAGGCGGACAAGGAGGTCTTCCAGACGTTTGCCAACGCCCACGTGTCGGTCACGAACGAGATATACACGCATTTGGGCGCACCCAAGTTCCTCTTCTGCCCCACCCAGTACTGCGCCTCGCGGGCCGTTCCCACGGTCCAGGAATCGGAGTACCTCAACACCCTGGGCTCCAAGCTGAACAACGAGATCGACATTTTGTGGACGGGGGATAAGGTCATCTCCAAGACCATATCCATTGAATCCATCCAGGAGATCACCGAGGTGCTGCGTCGGCCGCCGTGCATCTGGGACAACCTGCACGCGAACGACTACGACCAGAAGCGGGTCTTCCTGGGTCCCTACAGCGGCCGATCGCCGGAGCTGATCCCCCATCTGCGCGGCATAATGACCAATCCGAACTGCGAGTTCTACGGCAACTTCGTGGCCATCCACTCGCTGGCCTTCTGGTCGCGCTGCAGCCTGGACTCCAAGGTCAACAGCTCGCTGAGCGCGGACATCAAACTGGAGACTGAAAACGAGGATGATCTGCCGGCAGAGTTTCTCTCGAAGAACGTCTACCATCCGCGAGTGGCTCTTAAGTAAGTTAAATCTTCCTTATATATTAAACAAAACTAACTTTTAGATTGTAATTCCTTTAAAGGAGTGCCATTACGGAGTGGCTGCCGGAATTCTTCATGGAAAAGGAGGCCTGGGGACCCATCACCAAGCCCCAGCCGCAAGTGCAAATGGTCATGCCCATCATTCCCATCATACCTTCTATAAATACCTGTATGAGTCTCACCACCACCACGACCACTTCAACGAACTCCAGGACGCTTCCGGAGGTTAACACCACTCAACTTCAAGCTCTGGCGGACGTATGGTAAATTAAAGTTACCTCTTTTGTAAACCACTTTTATACAAGTAAAATCTATAATTTTCAGCGTTGTGACCTCTTCGCTGACACCCATCTCAAATCCAGTGATGAATTCCCTCGTGTCGCCTACAAAAGTGATCACAAACGACGACATCATCAATCCCATACCGACCACAGCCGCCAGCAACATTGAGCTGCCCAAGAAGATACCCATCTCCGTGGTCCCGGTGCCCATTATGGAGACGAAGAGCGTGGAGGCTTCCGTGGAACTGGAAGTTTTCGATGAAAATGAAACGAAAAGCGATTTGGCCAAGGAACGGATTGAACTGGAGGAGGAGCAGGAACCGGTGGCCAGTCTGTGTGTGGACACCATGCTGGACGACGGCAGTCTGAGCCCCTTGAGTGGCGGAGTCAATGAGCCCATGGAGTGCAGCAGCAGCATAGCATCGCAGGTCTCGCCACGCGAGGAGGAGGCCATCAAACTGGTGGCCGAAGATGTGCTCATGGAGTCTGTAAACGATGTGCATGTAAGTATGATTTAAAGAACTCTAAATACAGATTAATTGGTTTATCCTCTATGCAGAGTATGCATGTGGAGAGTGGAACCTCGTCGCCGATCTCAAATGCGGAAATGCGCGAAGAAAACGAAGCTCAGGCTGATAAGACCCTTGAAAACAAGTAAGAATGTTTATAAACCTCTAGGATATTAATCACTAAACCCTTTTAAATACTAGTTCTTCCTGCGGCGAAAGGATAACCGTTGAGGATCTAAGCCTGCTCTGCGATCTGTTCTATCTACCCTTTGAACACGGCAACCGCGGCCTGAAGCTGCTCGTCGAATTCAACTGGCTGAAGGGCAACGCAAATGTGATACTGCAGGACCGTTCTGCCGGTGGAGGAGGCGATGCCGTGAAATCAGCCAAGCCGGAGGTCACCGAGTGGCATCAGCGTTGCGAGCAATTTGATCAGCTCTGCAGCGCCGTCGTCGAGCTGCTGATCAAAATAGCCAACTGCCCGAACAAGGAGATCTGCCACGAGCTGTACTCGTATGTGTGGGACATCTCCGGCGCCCTGTCCTTGCTCAATTGCTACGTCAAATGGCTGGCTCTCGGCCATTTCCCGCAAAACACGTCTTCGTTTACGGAGGGAAGCTATACTTGTAAGTGAAACAAACGGCGTTTCAGCAGTGCAAATCGTAATATGTTTAAAAACCTTCTAGGGTTCAGCAAGGGCTGGAAGGAGGCCTTCATGTCCGGTGACCAGGAGCCATGGGTCTTTCGAGGCGGCCTCATTGCGGACCTGCAGCGCCTAATGCCCGTGGACTCGGGCAACGACCTGTTTGTGTACAAGCTGCCGGAGCAGCCCACGACCAACTACTATCTGCTGAGACCCTACTGCAATGCGGACGAGCAGAACGTCTACGATGTGTGCACCCGGCTGTACTTGCAGTGGCAGGGAGAACTAAATGGAGGCACACACATCCCTTTCCCGCTGCCGGCGAACATAGCCAGCATTGTGGCGGATGCACTGGTGGGCGGACACCTCACTCTCAGTCCGCAGCTGTGCATTGTGGCCTACGATGAGAGCAACAGCATCATTGGCTTCTCCTGCGCGGCCTTGGATGTAAACATATTCCGACGCAACCTGGAGCTTTGCTGGCTGACGGAGCTGCGCGAGAAGTATCCCAAGGATCTTTGTACTCAGGAAAGCGGCGAAGAAGTGAAACAGCTCGTTACGACTTTCGTGGAAAAGTTTCATGGCAACTTGGCCGTGGAGCAGTGCCCCGTGGAGGTGAGCGGATCCTTTCCAGCCGTGCTGGTCTGCGGCACTCTGCGGGAGGCGGAGGAGCGCGATTCGGGCATCACCAAGCGGATGCTCACCGTACTCCTGGCCGCCCTGCGAGCGAACGGCTGCTTTGGTGCCCACGTGTGCGTTCCCGAGCAGGACGTTGGCCAGGTGAGCTTCTACTCGAGGATCGGTTTCGTGGAGGTCTACCGCGAGGAGGCCAGCAAGTGCATTTACCTGGGTCGCCGCTTCTAGCGTTTCCGGAGCTTCCAGCTTCACTGCCTCCACTTTTAATGTTCCTTCATCTTTGGTATTCCGGCTAGTTGCTAGCCACTCTCGTCGCGTCCTCGTCCTTTTTGTATTCCCCCAAGGTAACCGAGTTTGTATTACTGACCAGCCCTTCTAGCATTTATCTTAAGCGTCGTTTTCATAATGTGGGAAAACAATAAAAATAACAATTTAATAATATTTTGGCTAGCTTTTGTTGAGGTCGTAGAACCACACGGTGTTTACTCCGTCCTCGATGATCTTCGCGTGCTCCAAGCTGGGCAGTGGGAAGCGGCAGGCGATGATCTTGGTGTTGTGCGGGCACTCGGCAATCAGCTTGTGTTCCAAATCCTGCATCATCTGCTCCACGCCGAAGATGACCACAAAGTTGTAGTCCTTGATGTCGAATTTCCAGAGATCCCGCCGGAAGAACCTCGTCTGCTTGGAGACCCCGTGGCGGAGAGCAGCCAGGCGGGAGTAGTAGACCAGCCAGGGATTCAGCTCCACGCCGTCCGTCTTCAAAGCCTTGTGGTGCTGGGCCGCCGCTGGAGAGGATTACATAAGTGAATTTCGGTGTTTTTGGGCTAGGTGAGAGGCGGAAACTCACCCACCACGATGCGGCCGTCTCCGGAGCCAATGTCCAGCAGTTTTCCGCCTGCATTTCTGGGCAGGAAGCTCAGGACATTCTGTATTTGCTCGGTGGTCGCCGGCACATAAGGCAAACAGATCCTCCGAAAGGCGGGCGCCACAAAGGAGGCGCACACAATGGACAGGCCGACGGCCACTCCTCCGGTGGCCGCTATCAGGATCTTGCCTCCCGTGGACATGCCACTCCTTGGTTTTGGTGCATCTTCATTCAGGAGTTCCATTTCAACCGGCCAAAATGTTGTTTACAAAATCGGGCAGTGTGTCCACACCATGGAAATTCAAATTCAACGATAGTTTATCGATAGTTGGCAGCCCTGCACGACATGCCCTGCGGCAAATGGTCACACTGCACGGGGCGCCCCACTAGCGGATGTGGCAACACTTTTTTCGTGCGTTTCATGTGTGCGTGCGCTTCCTATTACAATTTTTTCGAAGGATTTTCCGTGTGTTTTGTTGACGTGCAGCGCGACGGAAAGTGAAAAACGCATTCAAACAGTGCCGAGCAACAGGGCGGGTCAGCGTTTGGCATAAATTGCAGTGTGTGCTCCGCGTGCGGACGGGCGTAAGGCGTTGAAAAATGGCGAACGTAAGGGACAGCGACACATCACTGTGGCTGCATAATAAACTGGGCACCTCGAACGACTCGTGGATAAACGGCTCGATCTGCTCGCAGCTGAACAAGGAGGTGCTGCGCAACATCAAGGAGTGCTTCCCGGACCTGCAGACCCAGGTCAAGCTGAAGCTCCTCCTCAGCTTCCTTCACATTCCGCGCCGTCTGGTGGAGGAGGTAAATGAAATCAAATGGCGTTGGTGTATTTCACGAAAGAAAAAAAAGTACACCAGCGCACGCACACACGCTCGCGGACACGCGCACACGTATGCAGCGTACACACGTTGGTGAAACGAAAAAGTGCGGAAAATGTGTAAATACTCGGCAATTGTTATAAATCCCATCAGCTGGAGCGCGTCCCAAAGTGTATTTATCGTTTTATTCGCCATCACCAGCGGGGCAATTGCGCTGGCTGGCGAAAATAAATATTAGCAACGTTTCCCGCCACTTCTACTTTTGTGTACACATTTCTCTCTCCCGTCGCCACTTGTGCGTGTGTGTCGCTCTCGCGCGTGCTGGTGTGTGAGTGGGCTGCTTGTGGGTGGCTCGCGGATTCATTTGTTTGTTGTACCCTTCGCAGAGGGTATTTTGATTTTCGTGAGGCGTTTGTAAGGGAATTTAAGAGATTGAGCTTATGTGCAACCTACAAAAAAAGTTTTTTAAAAAGGTTTAATTTTAAATGATTTCGATGTAGGAAATGATAGTATTTTGTATTAAAATCAAAAGAATGATGATAAAATAAGTATAATTTATTATTCTTATTGAAAAGAAATGTGCAACCTACAAAAAAAGTTTTTCAAAAAGGTTTAGTTTCAAATTATTTTGATGTAGGAAATGATAGTATTTTGTATTAAAATCAAAAGAATAATGATAAAATAATCATAAAGCCGAATCCTAAAGTTCCATTGGAATAGATAATTTAGTATGGAGTTTCCCTATAGTATGACTATACCATTTAGCAGTTAGGGTATTAATCTTAGTCGTACCGTAATGAACTTCCCCACTTATTGTCAATTTAAATGCGCTTTTCAGTGGAAGGCAGAGCTCGAGGAGGTAATCGAGGTGGCCGGCCTGGACTCAGAGCTATGGGTCTCCATGCTGGCGGAGACGATGAAGACCTTCCCGGCCACCAGCTCGCTGAACACAGAGATCTCCGACTACGAGGACACGCGTCCCATCTTCACAGACATGGTCAACGACCTGCGCAAGCTGGTCACCAAGCACTCGGACCTCGGAATGCTGCCCCTGGAGTGCCAGTACCTAAACAAGAACGCGCTGATCTCAGTGGTGGGTAGAGAAACGCCTGTAATTATATGTAATCCGAAATAATCTCTAATTTTTCATTACAGGTGGGCCAGCAGCCCGCCCCCGTCAAGCATTTCACGCTGAAGCGCAAGCCCAAGAGCGCCCAGCTGCGCACCGAGCTGCTGCACAAGTCCGCGGATGCCCAGTCCTCGCTGAAGAAGGCCTCGGCGCCCACGATTCCGCTGCGATCACGGGGAATGCCCCGCAAGATGACGGACACCACTCCGCTCAAGGGAATCCCCTCGCGCATGCCCACCACGGGTTTCCGATCGGCCACGGTGCCGGGAAACGCCGCCCAGAGGCCCAATCTCAGTCGCACGCCCGCCGGACGCAAGGACGGAGGCATCAAGCTGATCGAGTTCACCGAACAGCCGCTGGGCTATGCGGCGGCCAAGAAGCGCAAGCGCGAACAGCAGCTGGAGGAGCAGCAGAAGAAGCAGGAGCAGAAGCAGCAACAGGCGGCGGCGGCGGCAGCTGCGGCGGCCACGGCAGCCGCCACCAATCCAGGCGACAGCTCGCCAACGGACGGAGCTACGGCGAGTGGAGGAGAGACACCCGTCACGCCCACGTCGGCCAACAACAGTTTCGAAATCAAAATGGAGCCACAGCTACTCAACCAGAGCGCTGGAAGCCTGGAGGAGCAGCAGGACGAGGATCTGGCCGGCAAAACGCCCATGGAATGCGATCCCGAGACACCGGAATACGCCACAGCCACGCTGGACTTTGCCCAGGCCAACACAACGGATGTTCAGCCGGGAAAACCCTCGGTGGAGACCAAGTTAAAGACACCGCGTACCCCGAAATCGGCAGCAAAGCTGAACAACAACAACAACAACAGCTTCAATCACACCCCCAAACGAATCAAGCAGGAGATCGAGATCAAGAGCGAGGAGATCATAGTGCCCGCCAGCATCAAGCTGGAAAAGATCGAGACTTCTCCATCGACGCAGGCTCAGCAGCAACGCGTCATCATCCAGCAGCAGCAGCCGCCTAGCCTGGTGCAGCGCACACCGCACCTGCTGATCCGCAGTTCACCGCAGAAGCGGCAGAATAACGGAGCCAGCACGAGTGCAGGCACCACCACCACGGTGGGCAATACCACCATCAAGATGGAGAAGCTGGATATTAAACCCATGCTGCGAGCCACCGGTGTTTCGCCCTCGACGAGTGCGGGCACTACGACGACGCTGCTCACGCCGCAGCAACTGCGCCAGGCGGCCAATCCGTTGGCCAATCTGCCCAACAACATCTCCGTGAAGATAACCTCGGCCAAGGCGAAAGCAGCGGCCGCCGCAGCGGCAGCTCCCAGTGGTAGTCAGCAGCCGCAAGCTGTGCAGGTCCAGCAGACGCCGCAGCAGTCGCAGCCCCCGCTTTTGATCAACAGCTCCACGCCCGTCATCTTGGCATCCTCGCCCAGCGCTCAAAGAGCGGTAAGTTGCGCTTGACAATTTAAATTGCACAGGTGTTTTCAAAAGAATATTAATTAGAGCCCTGATTTAATTTTGGTTTTATCATAGAATGCCATGAAATTTGGATTTGTTTAATTCATTTAATTAATTCATTTCGAATTGAATGAATAAATGAATAATTTTTATAAATTTTTTTAACGAGAACAAAAAGTTGAAAATTTTTAACAAATCAATGTTAACTGCTTAGAAAATAAAATTTAAATTTAAAATAAAATTTAATCGCAAAATTATGGCCCTTTCTTCTTCAAAAGAATTTGTCGTTAGAATTATTTCGGAATTCATGCCACTCATTCATTCAATTCTATTAAACTCAAAATTCAAATTCATTCAATTCTATTGAACTCAAAATTCGAATTAATTCATTCATATAAAAAAAAAAATTCAAAATAGTTTATTGAGTTCATTCATGCAGGGCTCTAATTCCGATTTATTCCTCCTTTATTTCTTTGATAATTAACTTGTATTTCTTTCCTTACAGAAGGCTTTGGCCCTGCCCAGTAGCAGTAGCACCCCCACCACCACCACGACGATACCGTCGCAAGCCATAAAGACGATGCCGCTGAGCCAGCTGAAGACGGCTACCAACAGCGGACCGGTGATCATATCGCAGACTATTATTCAGCCGGCGAAGCGAGCCCAACAACAGGCAGGAACCTCGAGTGCTGCGGCCGCTTCACAACAGCAGCAACAGCAACAGCAGCAACAACAGCAGCAGCAGCAACTGTTGCACCAGCAAATCCAACAGCAGACGCAACAGCAGTCGCAGCTGCCACAGCAGCCGCAGCAGCAGCAACAGACGCAGTACATCCTAGCCACGCCCCAACAGCAACCGCAACAGATTCAGCAACAGCAGCAGCAGCAACCCATGTTGCCGACGCTTACCTCTTTCTCACACAGTCGCCCTTTGCCGCAGACCACGACGCTTTACCAGGCCACCACGCCGGGCGGAAATGGCCAGACACCCACCAAGATACTGCTAAAGACCTCGGGATCGTCGAGTGTGGTGATGACTCCGCTGCGACAGGCACAACCGCAGCAGGCTACCGCTGTGGTCTCCTCGAATCCACCGCCTCTGGTCGCCACCTCGGCAGCAGTGGTTTCCCCCGGACAGTCGAACACCCTGAACATTCAAAACGTGCAGCTACCCAACCGGCCAGTGACCATTCAGCCAGCCTCTCAGGCCGCCCAGCAACAGCATATGCAGGCCCAGATGCAGCAGCAGCAGCCCCATCCACAGCATACGATTGTGGCCAATACGACGGCCACGCAACAGCCCAAGTTGTCGCAGGTTCTCATGCAGCCAAGCGGAGCCGTGGCCGGTGGCGTATCCACTCTTAATGTTTCCCCCACATCCGGCAAGAACAAGACCATCATACTCACCCAGAAGGGCGTTATCCTGCGCAACATCGGTGGCGATATGTACCAGCAAATACCCATGAGCAATGTGGGCAACCTGCAGGGACTGGGCGGCACCACACTGATGACCACCACAGCTGGACCGCCGAGTCTGGTGAAGACAACATCATCGAGCGGAGCGGTGCAGTTGCAGCAGCAACAGCCTGGAAAGCAGATCCTGCCGACCCTCATACCAACCAGCTCTCTTGGTGGACAGCACGTCATTGTGCAGCAGCAGCAACCCACCAATGTGATCGGCAATGTGAGTGTGATAGCTAAACATATTCTTACAATTTAACTTGTGAAAAATAATAATATCTCTTATCAGTCCCAGCAGCAGACGATCATTCGGCCTGTGATGGCCAACGTGGGCGGAGGCTTGACCACGCTGCCGCAGGGCCTGACGCTAATACAACGGCCGGGCCAGCAGCCGCAGCTGGTGCAGGTGCAGGCGGCGCCGGGCAGCACGCAGCGCACGATTA